GCCTGTTTGCCTCCTAGCTGTACTAGGTCCTCGTGTTGTCCCAGACTCCCCACCATAGCACCCCATACCTGCTCCCACTGGACCTAAGGCACCGTGTCTCCTGTTCTCCGTAGATCAGGGGCTGCCTTGGCTTCAGAGGACATGTGCTCAAACTCTTGAGGTAGGATAAACACTTCCCTTGTGAAGTTTGTTGGGCTCTTTTTTACTAGTATGAATGTGTCTCTTGTTATTTAAATGCATGCTCAGGCTTGGGGCTTTTTGTTTCTTTTTGTTAGGGTTTTTTTTTTTTTTTTTTTTTTGAAACGGGGTCTCATTCTGCTTACTGCAGCCTCAACCTGCTGTGCTCAGTTGAGCCTCCCAAATAGCTAGAACAGTGAGCGTGTGCCACCATGCCTGGCTAATTTTTGTATTTTTTGGTAGACATGGCGTCTCACTGTGTTGCCCAGGCTGGTCTCAAACTCCTGGACTTAGGTGATCCACCCACTTCAGCCTCCCAAACTTCCAGGATTACAGACATGAGCCATGGCACCTGGCCTGTTCCTTAGTTTTATTTTCTGTGACTTGGGGAGTTGTTGCCCTCTCTTCTCTTTGGTAGTGTCTGTGTGCCTTCTTCACAAATAACATTGCCTCTTCATCATTCATGTTTGCATTTCCCATCCTTGAAGGAGTTGAGGCTTTTAAATTTCTTACCTTTTTTTTTTTTTTGCGATGGAGTCTCTTTCTGTCGCGCAGGCTGGAGTGCAATGACACGATCTCAGCTCACTGCAACCTCCCTCTCCTGGGTTCAAGCAGTTCTGCCTCAGCCTCCTGAGTAGCTGGGATTACAGGCGCCCACCAATACACCCAGCTAATTTTTGTATTTTTAGTAGAAACGGGGTTTCACCATATTGGTCAGGCTGGTCTTGAACTCCTGACCTCGTGATCCGCCTGCCTCAGCCTCCCAAAGTGCTGGGGTTACAGGCGTGAGCCACCATGCCCGGCCAGGCTTTTAAATTTGAATGCAGGTTTTGTTCAGTGCCGCCCAGTGGCAGTGGCGCCCTCAGATTTGTGCCTTAAGCTCCTCCATCGCTCCCTCTCTCCCACTCTCTTGAGAAGACAGGGGCACAGCTTTTGCCCACACTGCCCACGTTGATACCCATGCCCTTCATCTACCCTCACAGGAAGAACTCAGCAGAAACAGATTCTCTCCCAGCACCACAGGTGACTGTTTTGAGCTACTTTACTAAGAGAAAGAAAAGAGCACCTTCTGATGCATTCTATCCCTTTCTTCTTCATTTTTATCTCATTTTTCCTGTCCTCTCCTGCACCCTGGAGCCACCTCCTTTTCACAGATTTTCTCCAACAAAGATTTTTGGGTTTTAAGTGTTTTTTGCATTTTTCTTCTTCTGGGAAACCTGCCTGAATGTAGAGTTTACCAAGGCCACTGGGATGTCTGTCACACCACAGACCCTGCAGCAGAAGAGTTTCTTCTACACACGGGCTACAGGTGCTGGACTGGAGTAGACACAGGCCTCACTCTTAAGGGGGGCCCAGTGCAGGCAAGGGGTAGGGGTTGCTGTGGGTGGACTGCCTCTGGCCCAGCCTGCTTTGCCTGCCCTTGGGAGGGGTACCTCTCTGCCAGTGCTTGGCGGAGGTGTTTCTCTTTGAGCAGCAGAGTTGATGTGGAGGGTTCCAGGGCAGGCTTCTCTTCAGTGGGCAGTTGTGTTTGTGGCATTTCAGCCTTTGTTTTTCTTACTTCTCTCTACTTTCTCTGCATCAACATGGAGTAGAGAGCAATTTCTCCATCAGGGAAGGGGAGGGACAAAGCCCCAGCCCTTGCTCACCTATTCAAGACCTGTTGGGACCTGCTTAATTAGGTCTCTTAATTTGGCTGGGCCCAAGAAGTGGGATTTATCTGGAAAGTTACTTGGAAAAGGAGCCACTTTATTTTTCTCTCTCAGCCTCTAAATTCTGAGGTCCTTGAGAAAACCTGTGTTCCACAGCCTGACAGCCAAGATACTTGTCTGAAACCAGTGGGGTGTGCTGAAACTGAGAAGCATGACCTCAGAGCCAGACCTCCAGAGGAGTGGGGTGTAGGTTATGGGATGCCGGGCAGGGGGCTGGGCCTCAGCTGGGTCTCTGTCAGTCCAACAGAATGCTTACACTCAGTGTTCCATGGTGGATGCTGGTGCCTGCTACCCCTCACCATCACCATCCTCCCTTGTGAGAGGCTTGCCCTGGGTGTATCTTGAATCAGGTTTTACTGTCCTCTCGCTGGCCCCACAGCACCCCTGACTGTGTTCTTTCACTCTTAGGTCTTAGCACACTTCCAGCTCATGGCAACCCATTGCTGCCATGTATTCATTCGGTTTTCTGTTTCCAACTAGAGTGTGAACTCCTTGAACAGGGAACTTGTCATTGCTGTTTACCATCAAGCTGTTACTTGGGGACATGTGAGTGTTGCAGCCACACAGCAAGGTTTTCCTACAGCAGCCCTGGGCCCACTGGCTTGTGGATTTCCCAGGGTGCCCTCCACTCAGGCTACAACAGCAGTTCTCACGTCCAAGAGAAAGTGAAGGATGACGGGGTCACGCAACTGGACACGCCAGGAAGCTGGCAGTTTCCAGTCCCACCAATGTTAGTTTCTCATCCCAGCTGGCTTTGTGTCTTGTATTCTTTGCTCTTTGTTCTTGGGGCCTTTGGAGAGCCAGGGCCATGGGCACCCAGGGAATGGAAGGAGGCCTCAGAGTGAATGCTATACGCCCCCACCCCACCATTTACACAGCAGTCATCACTTGGTGGGGAGGAACAAGGACATCCTCATGTCTCAAAGCTGGCCCAGGCTTACAGACTAGTTCACTGCAGTAGCTACCACTCAGTAGAGGGCACTTCCTCTGTCCTGGGAGGCAGAGCTGATTATCTCCCTTCATGATGTCTTGACACTTCTGAGGCCCACTTCTCTAACCTGCTCCCTGCTGCTTGGCAGCAGGCCTGGCTCTTTCAGAAGCTCTTGTGGCCCCAGCTGCCTCTTGGAGTCATTTTGGGACCTGAGACCACCCACATCCAGAACACTACCCACCTGGCACATAGCTGGGTGCTGCAGGGCTAGGGATCTGTCTTACTCTCTCACTAGGGCCTCCACTCTGATGTGAAACCCCCCACCTTTTCCTCCTTGGGCCCTACTCCTGGCAGGTTAACTGGTGATGGTCTCTGGTCATCCCTTCTTGTGTATCTTCTTCCTTGCCTCAGACCTGCTCAAGGAGTTATTTCTGAATAAAGTTATTTGCTGGGTGCAGTGGCCCATGCCTGTAATCCTGGCACTTTTCACTGTAGGCCTCAGCCTACATTCTAGGCCACATCGTGGGAGGATCCCTTGATCCCAGGAATTGGAGACCAGCCTGGGCAAGATGGCAAAACCCTGTCTGCACAAAAACTTGGCATGGTGGTCTCAGTTACTCAGGAGGCTGAGGCAGGAGGATCTCTTGAGCCCAGGAAGATGAGGCTGTAGTGAGCCATGATTGAGCCACTGATTGCATTCCACCCTGGGCAACAGAGCAAGGCCCTATCTCCAAAAAGAAGAAAGAAGAAAGAAAGAAAGAAAAAGTTACTGGGTCAGGCGCAGTGGCTCACGCTGGTCATCCCAACATTTTGGGAGGCCGTGGCAAGTGAATCTGTTGAGATCAGGAGTTGGAGACCAGCCTGACCAACGTGGTAGAACGCTGTCTCTGCTAAAAATGCAAAAATTAGCTGGGCATGGTGGTGTGTGCCTGTAATTCCAGCTACTTGGGAGGCAGAGGTTACAGTGAGCTGAGATTGCGCCACTGCACTCCAACCTGGGTGACAGAGTAAGACTGTCTCTCAATAAAAAGAAAGAAAGTTACTGGCTAAAGGAAGTCATGCTCCGTGTGGCCTGGAGGGGAGGGAATCAACACCACAGTTATATGGGATGCCTGCTCCAGCAGCGTGGGAGAGGAAGCCTCAAGGAGTGTTTCCTGAGCCATCAGGAGGGGGTTCCAGGGCTACGGTCCTCTCTGAAGCATTGACACACATTTGGGGGAAGGTCCTTGCCATGGTGTGTTTCCACGATGCTCAGTTTATTCCTGGTTTAAAGCAGGTCCCAGAATTCTGCTGGGAAGCGAGGCCTTTGCTTCTGCCTCTGTCCTGAGCCATCACTGGATTGAGCACAGCGCCCCCAGGGTAGGGCAGGGACTTGCCAGCTGGCTGGCAGTATGTGTGGCCAGACCCAGCATCCATGTGTGGCTGCTGTTCCCTGAGCTACATGACCCCATGTGGTTCCATCTGATTACTGGATCTTAGGTTGAAAGGTCTTAGGGTCTGCTGCGCACAGTGGTTGCCTCCTGCAGCCTGTCCTCAGTGCCCCACACCTGCTACCTGAACTTCTCTTACCTTGTCCCGCATGCGCTGGAGGTGTCTCCTCCAGTGGTGCAGCCCTGCTTGGTTAAGTGCTGCAGGGACGATCTGAGGAATGAGAAGACCAACTTAGAGCCGTGTCTGCTACGACAGAGCCTAGTCCCCTAGAGGAGGTGTGCTTGTGGCAGGCACACTCCCACCAGGGACCTCTGCATGTGCTGTGTCTTCTGCCTGGAACACCCTCTCAAGCCACAGACTCCTGCTCCCCACCACGCACCTGGCGGGAGCTTTGGCTGTTTTGCGGTTTGGGGGTGCTCTTGACCCAGTGCCATCTGTCAAGCACCCCCAGAGTTCAGTGGGCTGGCTGCCTTGGTGGCCTGGGTCTCATATCTTTACCTTGGCTGTGTTCTCCAGGGAGTAAGTGCCTGGCTACATCTGGACCACCTTGCTCTTCAAAGTGAGATTTGAGAGGAGTGTTGCAAGAGTTTTCGGAGGCCCTTGCCCCCATCTTGGCGGCAGAGAGGATCACCATCCTCTTTCGCCCTCGGTTGATTTCTGTTGAGTTGGCCCCAGCAGCCAGTGAGGCCAGGTGATGCTAGGCTGCGGCCTGGGTACCCAGCAGCCCTCACAGCGTGTCTTTCTCTCACCAGGATGTGTTCGAAATGCGCTTTGCCAAGATGCCAGATGAGCCTGAGGAACCAGTGGTGGCCGTGTCCTCCCCGGCAGTGCCCCCTCCCACCAAGGTTGTGGCCCCGCCCTCGTCCAGCGACAGCAGCAGCGATAGCTCCTCGGACAGTGACAGTTCGACTGATGACTCTGAGGAGGAGCGAGCCCAGCGGCTAGCTGAGCTCCAGGAGCAGGTGAGGACGTTGGTGGCTCCATTCTTAATCCCCAGAGTCCATGGACCAGGGTGGCCTCCCCAGAAGTTTCTAAGAGATATTCTTGGCTCTGAGTTCCCAAGGGAGCAGAATTTTCACTGGACCGCCTGTGGCCTTTTCCCCTCTGCTAGGTCAAGTGCATGTTGATCATGCACGTATGTGTGATATTTGTGTTGAGCTTGCAGTTGGGGATGGGGAGTGACGTGGCCATTTTCTGGGCAGAGAGGAGGTGGCTTGATCCTTTCAATGTCTGGAAGGAGGAGGTTGAGCCAGGATGTTCACCTCTCCTGGGGCTACCTGGTTGTTCCTCTCCCTATAGCCAGTCATCAGACCCTTCGTGCCTGATGTGTCTGTATGCTCTTAGTTAGCTTCTTAGGGGCCCTCCTTCTGGGATCAGGATGGCTGTGAGACTTAGTGTCTGTCGGCTTGATCAGCTCCTCTGTTGAGGAGGACACTGGCAATCTTTGGAGTTGAGGGAATGGGTGGAGATAGGCTTGTTAGGAATCTGGTTAACATGACAGGTGCAGAGCTGGGGGCCTTGCCTCCCCCTGCCTCCCCTACACACCCTGATGCCCCAGGTGCATGTTTTTTGGAGCAGTCGCCTGGGTCTTGGGTGACAGAAAAGTGGTCTTAGCCCTGAGTGTGTGTCTTGTCTGTCTGGTCCACAGCTCAAAGCCGTGCACGAGCAGCTTGCAGCCCTCTCTCAGCCCCAGCAGAACAAACCAAAGAAAAAGGAGAAAGACAAGAAGGAAAAGAAAAAAGAAAAGCACAAAAGGAAAGAGGAAGTGGAAGAGAATAAAAAAAGCAAAGCCAAGGAACCTCCTCCCAAAAAGACAAAGAAAAATAATAGCAGCAACAGCAGTGCGAGGTCTGTGTCCCCTGAGTTTGCCCTGGGTGGGGACCCTCCTTCCAGGGCCTGCTCTGAGACTGTGTGGGCCACTGCCCCTCCCCGTCCTCGTTGGGTGCGGAGGCTGCCCCTCTGCAGCGTGACTTCACAGGCCAGGCTGGTGGCCATTTGCACACAGGACTTAGCTGCACTGTCTCTGCCCCTTTCTGTAGGATGAGCCTTCGGAGCTCACCATGTTTCGTTGAGGGGGATGGGCGGCAAGGATGGGGCTGTAGCACAACCCCCACTCAGGCAGCCTGCAATCACAGTTGACTTTCAGTCTCTACTGGGTGCTCCCAGAGATTGAGTTGCCAATCCCCCGTTTCCTGTGAAGGCCGGTGGGTGGGGGGTATGGGAAGGGCGCCCCCGGCACCCCTTCACCCCAACATACATGTGGAGGAATGAGTGCCTGGCATCCTCAGGGGGCCCGTTCTTGATGATGTGTGCATCGTCCCTTCATAGCAAGAAGGAGCCAGCGCCCATGAAGAGCAAGCCCCCTCCCACGTATGAGTCGGAGGAAGAGGACAAGTGCAAGCCTATGTCCTATGAGGAGAAGCGGCAGCTCAGCCTGGACATCAACAAGCTCCCCGGCGAGAAGCTGGGCCGCGTGGTGCACATCATCCAGTCACGGGAGCCCTCGCTGAAGAACTCCAACCCCGATGAGATTGAGATCGACTTTGAGACCTTGAAGCCGTCCACACTGCGTGAGCTGGAGCGCTATGTCACCTCCTGTTTGCGGAAGAAAAGGAAACCTCAAGGTGTGCTTGGGCCCTCTGGGCGTGGGGGTCCTTCTGTGGGCCCCCTCAGTAACTTCCCTCCTTGCTCAGTCTACTCTCTGTGCGTTTTTTTTTTTCCAATTATAACATTTGTGTTCTTGACACAGAAATCTCTGAAAGGTTGTGACGTCACCCTCGCCCCTAGGCTGTCAGTGTCTTTCTAGATCTCTGACTGGTGGTGTCTGGGGCCCCTCTGCACCTTGTTGCCTGAAGCTGTGTTCTAAACCAGAGCTGCTTTCGACCCAGGCTGCCTGCTGCTGAGTCTTCCTCTGGCCTCTTTGGGGAAGGAGGAAAGGCAGGTCTGCAGGGTCCCAGGACCTGTGTACTGATGGTTAATGTAGCACTGAACCGGCCTTTGTCCCTCTCTAGCAGGGACAGTTAGGTGTGGCATCCTTTCTGGACTCTTCCAAGCAGCTGTTTTGTATCACACAGCTCATCTTGGCCTACGGCTTTCCTCTGAGGACTTAGGATCCGGTGTCAGGGCATTGCACAGTCTTTGTCCCCAGCCCAGACTGGCTCTTGGGATCCTTGGGCCCCTACCTGGGGCACACCACATGATTATTCCGGCATGTGTCTGAACAGCTGTGTTGAGAGACCCCAGGGGGGTCTTGCCTTACCTCTGGGCAGCATGTTCCTTTTGGATCCTCTTCTTCCCCTGTCAGAACAGTAACTGGGAGAATCCAAGCCTCATGCCCAGCAGTACCTTGTGTTAGGAAATTACCCCTCTGCCTGGTCTCTTGAATCCCTGATAAACCCCTCAAAGGGAACTTTGAGAGACTGAAGGAACCTTGAAATCCCAATGTCCACAGTCTACCCATGGGAACTGTGGGGCCACGTGAGTTCTGGGAGTGGCAGCTGGCAATTAGGAGCAGCCCCTGGGCCCACCGTGCACAGGCTCCTCACTGGTCCTTCCTCCAGATGGATGGGGTGTGCCTGTGGCTTAGAGCGGCCTCCTGGGCCATGGCCCTGCCTGACCAGCTCCCATTGCTTGGGTTGCAGCTGAGAAAGTTGATGTGATTGCCGGCTCCTCCAAGATGAAGGGCTTCTCATCCTCAGAGTCGGAGAGCTCCAGTGAGTCCAGCTCCTCTGACAGCGAAGACTCCGAAACAGGTTAGGTGACGTGTGTCCTATGTGTCTTACCAAACTCCTCCCACCTGTGCCCGGCACCAGCTCAGTCCTGTGTCCAGGATGCTAGAGCCCAGAGACGGCCATCCCAGAACTTGCTGGGTTCCTCTGTCTGCCTGTCTGTGTCGTCTCCCTGGGGCCATGGATAGCCTTGCATTCTGTGCAGCAGTGTCCATTCTCTCAGCCTGTCCGTCATGCTGTCCCTGCCAGGGGCTGGTCATGGAGGACAGATGGCCAAGGGCGTTGACACTGCAGAGCCCTGGATGGTGGGTGGCGAGGCTGGGCCATGAGGACTGTGGGCGTGGGGGCCCAGGCTGTGCTGTTGACCTTGAGGTGACCGTACCCAGCTTTGTGCCCCAGAGGAGACTTCGTGTCCCTAGGGCCTTCCCCATATCACAGTCACATGCAGTGCGGCCGCTTTAGGGAGACACTTCGCTGGTTTCTGGTGGATATAGAGCAGTCTGCTGCTGGCCCCTGCCATCCGCTGGGCCCCGGCCATTGCCTGCTCCTCCCCAGAGTGTGCTCGTTGCTGTGTTGGCTGCTCTTGAATCTGCCCTAACTCCACACGCACCTGGACTTGGCGTGTCTCTCCTGCAATTCTAACTAACAGTCCCTTCTCTTCAAGCCCTGTGGGCCTGCACGGCGGACCCTGGGTTCTGCATTAGAGCCCACCTTCTGAGCAGCAGCCTCAGTGGGAGGTGGAGGCAGATAGCGATTCTGGGTGCCAGGTGGGAGTGGAGAGGGTCTGCTCTCCTCCAAGTGTGCACTTTCCTCATTATTCTCAGGGGCACAGATGCTCAGGCTGGCGCAGAGGAGAGGATAGGGAGGGAGCCATGGTGCCCAGGAGGCCTGGTGACCAGCCCCTGCTGAGCGATGGAGCTAACATCCTGTGTTTATGGCCAACGGGGTTGCCACTAGGCTGGTGCAGCTGCGTCAGTGAGCTGGCGTGCTGCAGACCACCTGAGAGCTGGCCCTAGGGTCTCAGGCAGGCTGGGGAATGGGCATCCACAGTGGGAAACCTGTGTTTTGGCAGTAGACTCCTGCATGTTTTCCCACGGGCCTATCGCATCCCTGGGATTTTATTCTAACTAGAAATAAATGCTAACCGTCAATAATCAGTGCATGTGAATAACTTGATCGTGCCAAGGAAGATTGAGGACCCCTCACAGCAGCTGGGGAGAGCCATGTTGCTCTGAGGTGTGTGCGCACAGATGGGGCGGGGGCAGGTGGCACCTCGGGTCTCGTCAGTATTCCTTTTCCGTTGGACAGCCTGGTGCCCTCTGCTTCCCAGGTGAGTGAGGAGACTTGCCTTGAAGTGGGCTGAAAGACCCTCCAGGACTCCAGATGCCCACATTCTCTAGCACAACTGTGCAGAATGCCCTGGGCAGCTCACTGGCCTCGTGGCCTTCCCTGTCGCCATCCTTCACGCTTTCATCTCTAACCGGCACTCTCCCCACACTGCTTTTGTAATCCATCAGCCAGCAGGAGGCGCTGCACCCCATGGCTGCCCAGGATAGGGCTGGCTCTGCCACCCAAAGCTAGGGCCTCCACTCGCAGCACAGTGAGTGGGGTGAATGGCTGTATTCTTGGATCCAATTAGCATTCCTGGTGGCCGCTGACTTTTCACTTTCGGTGCCAGCCGAGCCTCCAGCTTGCCTTCCTCTGAGTTTTTGCACCTCCTGTTTTCTAGCTGACTGCTCCTACCGGAGGTTTTGTAGCCTTTGCATCTAAGGATCTCAGTGACCAAGTGGAAACCCCAGATGCTGAAATTGTCAGGGGACCTGATTAACTAAAATGACATGGCATGGTTGTGATGGGGGTGCTACTTTAGCCCTCACAAGACAAGACACCTTAGAGGGCTGTGGACATCATATCCTGATTTCCAGTCTGTGGTCGTGGCCTTTGCCCTTGGCCTCTGCGTCCCTCTTCTGGGCTCCTCTGCTTTGGCAGAGAAGTTGGGAACGCTCCTGGCTTCCTGAGTGAGTGCCCCACACCCCTCCTCCCGCTGCTGAGATTTTATTATTTTTTCACTCCCCCACTTTAAAAAAAAGTGGAAAGATTGTGCAACAAGTAATCTGAGAGTCCTGGGAACAGCTGTCCTGGCGGGAAGGAGGGCGAGATTTACTGTCTCAGAGCCGCTGGCTCCCAGGCTCCCAGGCTGTGGCGGTCCAGCCCTGGCCACTCGCGCAGCTGCCTGGGCTCTGGCCTTCCCCTCTTCCCAGACACCCTCCCCACCTTGGGTTTTGCCTGGCTCCCTTTTGTCTTCGCAGTCCTGGCCAGCAGGGGCTTTCCTTTGCCTTCTGTGTGCACTGAGTGAGCTCTGTCGTGGGCCGGCAGGGTGCTTCTGCTCTCAGGCGGGGTTGCTGCTAGGGTTTTGTATGGCAGATCCTGAAGCGGGAATCCACATCCTGGCACCATTAAATGCAGCCTTCTCCTGCCCTGTCCTGCACAGGACTCTGCATTCTCAGGGCGGGGGGGCAGAGGGGGCGTAGCTCCTTCAGCAGCGGCTCTCCTGGGTCCAGGAAGTCCAGCAGCCCTGATGTCCATGGCCAGTTACAGGCAGCTCTGCCTTAGTGGGGGAGTGGGTCAGGGTGGGGGAACATTATTTTCCTTTGGTATTTTGGGGCCTAATTGAGTTGCAGCTCCCCCCAACCCCCCTTGTTCTTGTGTTTCCATTTGGATTGGAGCCGAAATTCCTGAAAGGGCCTATTTTTGTCACTTATACTACGGGGTTAGTTCCACTGACACGGCCCTGAGACATGAATCACCAAAAGAAACCGAACAGAGTCACTAGATTGAGGCTGGGGGGTGTGATACTGAACACTCCTCCTGGCAGCTATCCATAGACCAGGATGCTGTAGACTGATGCAGGCGTGGAGTGGTCCTCTGCGGCCAGACTCCAGTTCAGGAAGCCACGGAACACAGGCAGGAGGAGGATGGCGGGGGTGGGTGCTGCTTTCCCAGCTGGGTCCCAGGCTACCATGTATTCCCCACCCTCTGCCCCGGCAGCATGCAGTGCAGTGGGCCAGCCCTACCACTTCCTCTGATTCCAGCTAGTGCTTGGGCTGGGGTCTTTCATTGAGCTGTGATTCCAGCTAAAGCCTGGAGCTGCTTGAGGGTTCTGTATTGTGACAGGCAGGGGTAGGGCACAAATGCCCCCCTCCCACCACCCCTAGGGCATCTGCAGACCTGGGGAGATCAGGCTGGAGGAAGACACTGTCCCAGGTAGGCTGTGGACAGTACTGTGGCTTTGCTGTCATTAGCAGCGGGGTTAGGTCTGCCCAGCATATGGGGCAGGGCATGTCCTAGAAATCTTCTAGCTTTCACTTGTCACATTGCTGATATCTGGCTCTTCCCAAGTGTCATGCACAGGTCTTTGTGAGCCGAGGTGTCTCCACAGCTTATATTCCTCTTAGGGATACCCCCTTCACCTCAGCTGCCTGGGCTGGGACAGGGTCTCAGGGAGGTGTGAGAGATCCTCCTGGGCTTTGGTCTGGTCTTCTAGTTGGAGCGGGAGCGCAGTCCAGCTATTTTAGTCTCCTGGCTTCCTTTTCCCAGGATTGGAGCGTGTGGGTGTTTCTTAATGGCTCCAGGGGAAAAAGGAATGCTTGATGTTTTGGAAAGATTCGAGCTGGGAAGTGCAGACAGAGGCCATGGGGCGTTCTTACCACACAACCAGCCTCAGCTTCCTGACCCCCAGGGTCTTTGAGGCACTTAGTCGCATCGCCAGGCCTGCTGCTTGCCTCCTCCACAGTGTGGCGCTTACCTAGGGGAAGGGTGAGGACCCTGAAGGTGGGGGAATAGGAAGAGACTTGAAGATGGGGCAGTAGCCTTTCCGTCTGCACAGGCAGGTGACTCCCCCTACACACCCAGTATTTGCAGCTGGAGGGATTCTGGGGCTTTATGGGCGGGTGAGGGTGAGCCTTGTGGAATGTGGCCCGGAGTGAGAGGCCGCCAGTGGGCGGGTTTTTCCCATGCCCGCACTCAGGGGCCAGGGAGTAGTAGCACGTCGGTTGCATCCGTGACTCCAGCAGAGGCATCTGCTCTGCTGCGTGGGTGGGAACAAGCCCAGCGCCCCTCCCTGGTCCAGGGAGCCATGTTGGATGCCCCAGAAAAGGAAAGAAAGGACAAGACTTTATTCCTTAATGTGTTTCTTTTTCTTTTTTTCTTCCTCTTCAACAGTGTATATAATAGGTTCTGCTTTTTATAGAGTTTGAACTTTTTGTTTGGGGGATCTGGAGGAATGCAGAAATGAGGCTGTTTGCTCTTTCCCCTCCACTGGGGATCCTGCATTCTGGTACCTCCTTTCTTGGGGACCCAGGCGGAAGGGCTGGCATTGCCTCCCTGAGAATAGACAGTGCGCAGCCCCTGGATGTGAGATGAGCTCAAAGTCAGCAGGGGCCTAGTTGGCTTGCCATACCTGTCTGGTGGGACAGGGCAGGGGCACCACTCAAATTCAAAAGAAGCCGCTTGAGGGCAGTAAAGGAAATGCCGGCGTGCACTCAGGCAGGCAGGGCACTCGTGGAGCTTGGTAGTGGGGGCCAAAGCCACTCTGTAGAAGCTGAACAGGGTGGGGGTGGTTTCCGAGGCACTCATGCATTCTGCCTCTGTGACCTTTCTAAGGGGGTGGTGGGTCTGTCCCTACCTATGGTTAGCCAGGCACGGGGCAGGGCTCCAGTCTCCAGTGCTGTTCTTGTGCCCATCAGCCACCAGGGTGCAGGAGGCTGGCTCGGTCTGCAGTTCTTCTGTTCTTGTGACTTAAATGGTACATTCCACACCATTTCTCTCACACTGGTTTCTCTCTCCCTCTACGTAGGTCCTGCCTAATCATTGGACACGGACTCTTAATAAAACGGTCTTCAGTTCCAGATTCCTTCCCAGCAAGCTATAGCTTAAGTCCATTTTCTTCCGTGAAAGGGACAGGACTCCATCAAGTTATGGAATTCCTCAGAGCCCTGGGCCTGTCCCCCGGGGTGGATTAGTCATGTCCAGCAGCACACGCCTAGTCCCGCCTTCGGGAAGGCTGCCTGCCTGGCCAGCAGCCTGGGCCTCCCTGTGTAAAGACTGCCTGGCTGTCCTGCCCAGCCTCCCTGGTCCTCTGGGGTCGTCTGGGTGGGTGGCATCTCCTGGAGGGTGATGACAATCCCCCACACATGCATTCATGTGGTGCTGCTCTGTGTGCAAAGCCAGACCCCAAGTATGTTTTCTCTCTTTGTCCCATCCCTCTTTTTCTGGGACTTTGGACCCTAACTACTTCCCTCCTGAACCTTGCAGTGACATTAGTCCAGGAGAGCTCTTGTTCAGTGTGTAGAAGAACACTCTGACCTCTAGAGCTGTCCCAGATAAGGAGTGGGAGCTTTAGAGGCAAGGCCTCTAGATCCTGGAGGGCTCAGTGAGGCTCTTCCCACAGCATGTTTGTCACTGATACCCTATAAGGCTCGAGCCACCACTGACTCTAAGCCTTTTGGAGTCTTTCCTCCTCCGTCTCCATTGTTCCCGTGCATTTCCAAAAGCTTAAGTTGCCTGGCGGGCATTTCCCCAGTTTCTTTGGCCTCCCTCTTCTCAAGTCACATAGGGAAGGTACCTCCTGGAACCAGGCTGCAGTGTGCAGGACCTGCCGGGCAGGCACTGGTGAAGGGCCTTGGGCCCATCATCCCCCAACCCCACCTCACCCCACCCACCTCCTCTAGGGGGCCGGATCTGGGCTGGTGGACTGGAGAGGGTGTCACAGACCCTCAGGGACTGCCCCGTGGACACCTTTGATTGGTGTTAACAGTGTGAACATTTTTCCCGTCTTCAGTCCCTTAGAATAACGACAGCCCCTGGGGTTGGGGCAGGCGAGGGTGGCCACATCATCCAAGCCCTCCCAGAGGCACTAATAGGCTTTTTTGCTCTAAAAATAAATACCGGCCCTTTTTTGGTCACAAATCCAGCATCTCAGCAGAAAACTGCCTGACATGAAAAGTCCCCTAAGGAACTGCATCTGCGTTTCAGGGGCTTTTCATTTTTTTCTCCTTTTTTAAAGTGTAGATTGTGGGTGCTTCCTAAAGGCCTGCCTTCTTCTGAAACTGGAAGTGGGCTGTCGCCATGGGCAAGCCCTCGGGTGCCGGCTCCCCGCCGGTGTGGGAGCCCTGGCAGCTCTCCTCAGCTCCCTGGGCTTGAGCAGCTGCAACTGCCCCAGATTTGCTGTGGAAGCAGGGGCTGGCCCTGGCCTCACCAGAGCCTCCCGGGGCCTGCATTGATGCTCAGGAGTTCCTGGGCTGCTCTTGATCCTCTCTGGGCGTCCAGCTTCCAGTCAAGCTCCGTTTGCCAAACAAACTATTCTGAGCTGCCCTTTGGCCTGCGCCTGTTGTGTTCCTGTTGCAGCCCCGCCTGGCTGAGACGGGGGCAGGCGGGAGAGCCTTCATGCCCAGATTCCCACAGGACAGTTGGGGAGCTGCTGGCATTGTCTTTCTGGGAAGATTCTGCTTTCTTGGACCAAATGGCAGCCTGGATTCCCAGTGTCAGGCCTGCATGCTGCCCCTGCCCCCCCCACACACATGCGCGCGCGCGCACATACACACACACTGCGCGCGCACACACAGTGCACATGGGCCATAGCCACAGGCCAGCTCTCCTCCAGGGTCCTTTCAACTTCACTGTCCAGGGACCCTCTCCTTCTTGCCCATGGGGCTTCCATCTGGCAGAGAACGCTCAGGGCTTGTTGAACTTGAAAGCACATTAGACTTAAGCTGTCACCTGTGCTTGGTGCCCCAGGAACAGCCAGAGAGGACAGTGCCCACTCACTTCTCCTTGTTGGCAGCCTCCTGTGCAGGAAGTGCCAGCCGGGCCTCAACGCACCAGCTGGCTGTGGGTCCTGAGGAGGAGCGGGAGGCGGCCGCTCAGTGCAGGCGGGGACTCCTCTCCTCTGCCCTGACCTTACCCTCCATCCTGCCTCCTTCATTGGAGTGGGGCTGGGGGGTGGGCGGAATCAGTGTTTTAATCGGATTTTTAAAAAACATTTTATTTCTTTGTACAATTACCATCCTATGTAAAGATGAAATTTGTGTTGAGTTGAAGATTGTCATGGAATAAAGATCACACCGTACTTGAGGCCATCTTCATGTAACCCTTTCTAGAGAGTTTTGTGTGGGGGTGTCTTGGGGCTGGTGTGTTGTGAAGCTGTGCACTTCCTGTCTTGTCTTTTACTGGTAACTCCGACACAAGGCTCAGACCACGTGGGCCAGATGGGGCTACCTCTACCACCAGCCCCTTTAGTCATCTGGTCCTGGGGGTCTGCCATGCACCTCTCCCCCACTCGTTAGTCCTGCCTTGCCTGGGGGCCCCAGCACTTGCAAGGGGCCCTGGAGACAAGTCCCTAGGATATTACCTGTGGCCTTTCTGAGGCAGCTGAGATATGCCCCCTGGAATCCCCACAGGCTCTGCTACATCTCCTCCTGTGGGCCTTTGCTTACAGCCTGCAGGCTGTGAGGGGTTAGAGTGGCCATTCCTCTTTTACAACTGAAAAAACAAGGTTTCTTCCAAGGCCACAAGACAACAGGCGAGCCCCAGCATGTCCTTCCCTTGCACTCACACTTTCTCCCTCAACTCTGCATCTGGACACATCCCCGAGGCTTCTCCTAGTCAGATTTCACACGGTGGCCCTGCTGCTTCCCGCTACCTTCCGCCTCCTGCCCCAGGTCCCCTCCAAGGTATGCCCAGCATGCCCCCAGACACCATGGCTCCTTCACCTCCTCACACTGGGATTAGTGCTGGGAGAGAAGCCGTGGCCTTTTCTTCCTGCTTCCCTAGTGTGCAGGGTCTCACTGGTCCTGTGGCCGCCAACCTCTGCAGCCAGTGTTCCTCCCCGTTCCTCCCCGCTGCACCACAGCAGTCAGACTCCCTGTTGCCCTGACTCTGCAAATCTACCCGAGCTTTCCCTTCTGGCATATCTCACCCACAACAGTCTCTCTCTCACCAGATGTCATACTCTGACCCAGAGCATCCTGAGGTGCTCAGTATGTAGGTTTGAGGTGGGGCCCCAGGTTCCCCCGTGTCCCCAGTTGCAGCCCCTGGTCATTTGTACAAGGACGTGTGTCTGTAGCTGCTGAGGTCTGTGTCCGTGTCTTGTTTCGTGTGGAGTGGTGAGCTCTTACAGGGCACAAGGTCTTTCCCCATCCTTTTTGGTGTCTTGCTGCACTGAGGGCCACGAGCCTCACAGAAGCTTAGCGTGGCCCTCCACGAAGCAGATCCAAGTGGAAGGAGCCTCGATTTGGGCAAAGCATGTGTCCTCCAACACCAGCAGCAAGAGGCAGCACCCTGGCAAGGAGCTCAGGCAAAGCCAGGCAGTGCCATGAAGTGCTTCTCAGTGACAGGAATCCAAAAGGCGCCATATCATGGGCCCGGCCTCCAATCTGGTGGCTGGCGACTGTGTGACCTGCCAGCCCGTGAGCACTGGCCAGGGCTCATGTCCCCCACTGGGGCTTGTACACCATCCATGTTTGGTGAGGGGACATCCAGCTGGCCAAAGTCCCTTAGTGTAAATCTCTGGGGTGGGGACAGAGGTGGTGGGCATGCTGGCTCTTGAGTACACCTCACAGGGGCAGACACACCCTGGACCCATCCACCCCGCTGTGGTGCCAAGCTGTCAGCCCACAGGAGCGAGGGCACATGCCGCCTTCTGCCTGCAGCATGGTGACTGTGTCCCAAAGCAGGGACTTCTGAGGTCCACCTACCTCTTTAGTTGCTGGTCATTCCCAGGGGGCCAGCCTGCTCCTTTTTTTTTCCTCCTGGAGTGGGCTCTCTGCATTCTCCCTTGCCGATATGTTCCTCACCGTCCTGTGGCTCTCGCCCCAGCTGAGCCTCTCTGCTTCCCCTTGGAGAATGGAAAGGAGTGGGCCTCAGAGGGCCATGCAGTTGGAGGCCCCTGTGAAGCTGCTTTTTAGCCATGTGACCCTAGACAAGTCTCCTCCCTTCTCAGAGCCCCTCTTTTCTCAACTGTCAGATGAATGTGACCATTGCAGCCATCACAAGTTGTTGGAAAACTGAGCAGGTTGCCGTCCAGGCCATGTCAGTCCCTATAGTGAGTGACTGACCCTTTTATAGTGGGAGGCGTTGGGCAAGCTCTCAGCTTCCGGTGCGGCTGTGGTGATCTGAAGCTTGGCAGGGGAGGCTTTTTCAGGCACAGTCCCTGCTAGGAAAAACAGCAGGCAAGTGGGTAGGTGATGCCTCGCATGTCTTTCCCTCCCCCATGATGACCAACTCATCCCGCTTCGAACCCGGCTGCCCTCTCTCAGGGTCACTGGTCCTCCTGAACGTGCCCTGTTTTTTCCTCTTTCTCCATCCAAGGCCAGCTCACTCACCACCTCCCCCAGAGCCTCACTACCTTCTCTTTTCCTCTGCAGAGATGGCTCCGAAGTCAAAAAAGAAGGGGCACCCCGGGAGGGAGCAGAAGAAGGTACATGGGCTCAGGGGGCATCCTCCATTATGTGGGAAACTGGGTCTGGCCCTGGCCGGTTCTGCCTGCCTGACATCAGCCTGTCTGTCTGTCTTTCTGTCTACAGCACCATCATCACCACCATCAGCAGATGCAGCAGGCCCCGGCTCCTGTGCCCCAGCAGCCGCCCCCGCCTCCCCAGCAGCCCCCACCGCCTCCACCTCCGCAGCAGCAACAGCAGCCGCCGCCCCCACCTCCCCCACCATCCATGCCTCAGCAGGCAGCCCCGGCGATGAAGTCCTCGCCCCCACCCTTCATTGCCACCCAGGTGCCCGTCCTGGAGCCCCAGCTCCCAGGCAGCGTCTTTGACCCCATTGGCCACTTCACCCAGCCCATCCTGCACCTGCCGCAGCCCGAGCTGCCCCCTCACCTGCCCCAGCCGCCTGAGCACAGCACTCCACCTCATCTCAACCAGCACGCGGTGGTCTCTCCTCCAGGTGAGCCGTGGCCCACCCCAGTGTGGGCTGAGACCCCTTCCTGCCTCGGTTCGCCTTTGTGGTGTCTGAGTATTCTGGCTGGGCGGCAGCTTAGCCTCAGCGGCTCTGGTCTCTAGAGGGAAGATCCGCGGTTTCTCAGGGCCATCTTGGAAGTTAAAGGAGATGCTTCAAGACAGGTCTTGCAAGTTGATTCAGAAGATTTTTGTTTTTGTTTTTGTTTTTTAAACACCTGAGATCATTTGAGTAACAATCTAGATTTTGACTTACTTTTCCTGCTGGGCCAGGCGTCATGTTAGATGAGAAGAGCTGCGACTCCTCTGTAGCTTTTCTCATCAGGGGTTGGGAGGTGCACTCATGCAATGGGATTCCTCCCGTGGAACCTGGACAGCACTCACCTGGGGGATATGGGGACACGGCCACCTTCCTGGGGGCCTGGGCAACGGCCGGGCAAGTGAGGGACCAAGCTCTGCACTGAGGTCTGAAGGGCCATTGTGAGCATGGGGAGCAGGAGCTGGGGACACAGAGCATAGGGCAGGACGACACTGCCCTAAAGCCCTCTCTGGAAGCTGGCTGCTGCTCTGGAGTTTGTGGGAGACTACGGTAGGTGGGGAGGGAGTGCCAGTTTGAGGGAAGCCAGTAGGAGGCCACTGGAGTCCAGATGAGGTCAGGATGGAGCAGAAAGGCCAGGCTGGGGCCACAGGTGCTCAGGCCTCACCGCCTCGGTATTGTGTCGTTCCAGCTTTGCACAACGCACTGCCCCAGCAGCCATCACGGCCCAGCAACCGAGCCGCTGCCCTGCCTCCCAAGCCCGCCCGGCCCCCAGCCGTGTCACCAGCGTTGACCCAACCACCCCTGCTCCCACAGCCCCCCATGGCCCAACCGCCCCAAGTATTGCTGGAGGATGAAGAGCCACCTGCCCCACCCCTCACCTCCATGCAGATGCAGCTGTACCTGCAGCAACTGCAGAAGGTGCAGCCCCCTACGCCGCTACTCCCTTCCGTGAAGGTGCAGTCCCAGCCCCC